TTCTTACCTATTGTTGCTGAGGCTCCAGGGGCTCCATTATCTCCTAAAGAAAGACCCTTGTGTTATTCAGGGCAAATCTACACTACAAAATTAAGTCAACCTAAGTTCCATTGGCATACAGTCATTGCAGTAATTGAAATCCATTTTACATGTCCATACGATGCCCCTTGTGTTGGTGGTGTGCGTCCTCACCAGGAGTGCTTGTACCGATTTAACTGCCTATGGGGGCATTGTGGGATGGTTTCTGAAAGGCAGCAACAGTCGATGTAAGCAACACGGTGTCTACACTGACACTGCATCGACTTAACTACATCGACCTAAGCGCTATGCATCTCACAGAGGTGGAGTTCTTAACTCGGTGTAATGGGCGAGTTACATTGGTAGTTGCACTCCATTTTAATGTGGACGCTTACAGAGTTAGGTCAACGTAAGCTGCTTTACGTCGCTCTAACTCTGTAGTGTAGACCAGGCCTCAGAGAAAACCCCCCAACCTCAGTCATCACATTAGCAGAACCAAGCAAAGGCTCAATTAGGTCATTCATAATGAAGGTCTTCTGGATGACTCAGTCTACTCAGGGCTTGAACTGTGACATGCCCTGTCCAGGCCAAACAGGAGTTCTTTTTTGACACTTTTTTGACCTTTTTTATTAACTGAAAACAACAAAAACATTCTCAAGAACATTCTTTGCAGTTGTTTTTGGTTATAAAAAAACTTTTTCACCAAACAAAAATATCAATAACTGTTTTGATTACTTTTTAAAATTCAAAATAAGAAGGAAGAAACAAGTCTTTAGAACCCCGTAAAATGCCAATGGGGGGGGGGGGGAGGAGAGAGAGAGAGAGAATCTAAATTTACTAGTTTTCCACATTTTTATTTTTTAGCTCATTCTACCCAGTGGTGAGGCCAGAGGCGGCCTCCACTGCTCTCCCAGGTCCTGCTAATTTAGGGATCTCACCATCTGAGCTTAGCGCAACTGCTATACTTTCAGGCCAGAAACTAACACAATCTTTCTGAGCTGAAATTCCTCTCTCATCATGTAGCATTGGATTTTCCAGTCACTTGTTAAGTAGAAAAAAAAAGTTACTACTTTGAACTTTGCACCCATCAGTGTGAACTCAAGAGATGGGGAGTTATAGGCAAAATACCAGTGCCCTGGTTTCCGAGCATGTTAGTCAAGCTGGGATGATTGATTCATGAATCCGTGACAGAGTTCTGTTTGGAGCGGTATGAGGTATCTCAATATTTTACTGATATGGACACATTCTCTCTGTTACCATGGATGGCACAATAAGGACCAGTGCACAGATCAGTGATAAGAATTATTTGAGTTCCCTCACCTTTCAATACAGTGCAGCCAGCATCTCCCTTTTCTCCTCATGAACAGAGGGAAAGATTTAGCAAGAATGTAGCTATAATTGATGAATATTTCATAACTCGGGTTCTCTCAATGATCTCAACCAACAGCAGACTGGATTTACAATGAGACAATCAAATCGTGGTGTGACCTTGCACTCCAAATGTTTTATGGAAATATGCTTATAAGTGTGAATATGATGTAACTGGAATATGCTTTATGCAAAAGGTCTCTTGTAAGGTATCATAACAAAGATTATAAAGTACTGAATGTATTTATCCTATTTGTATGCATGTATCATTCTTGTACCTGAAGCTAAAAATATGAAGTATAACTCTGGGTCCTATTGTAATTATGCAAAGTGTGGGTCATTAATGGTGGTTTAGAATGGATGGCTCCCATTGACTAGGACAATTAGTTGTAAATGGTTTATTTACCTGCAAGCCTTCCTGTGTACGTGTGGGCCAACCCAGGAAGAATGGAGACTAGGGGGTCTTACAGTAACATATGACCATGTCACATGATATTGGAATCCATCTTAATCCTTGTATTTTTCCATTGATGAGGCGGGGATGGGGACAAGCACAGACAAAAGATTCCTGCCTTGTGCCAAAGCTATAAAAGGGGGTGGAGCAGGACAAAAGGGGCTGCCAGTCATGAGAAACCCCCTGCTTACCACCTGAGATGTCTGCTGGATCTAACAGACTGTACCGGGGAAAGGATTTGGCCCAGACTAGGAAGAAGTCTAGTCTGTGAAAGAAGCTTACTGGAATATCTTTGGGGGTGAGAGATTACCTGTCATCGGTTTCTTAATGTATTAGGCTTAGACTTGCATGTTTTGTTTTATTTTGCTTTGTAACTTCGATTTGGCAGTTATTAACTTGAAACCACTTGAATCCTACTTTTTATACTTAATAAAATCACTTGGATCCCTTGGGAGCTGGGTGTCTGGGTGCTGGAGACAGATAACCTGCTGAGCTGTTTTTAGTTAAAGTCTGCAGCTTTGGGGGCGTGGCCCAGATCCTGGGCCTGTGTTGCAACAGGCTAGCGTGTTTGTCTCAACAAGGCAGGGTTCTGGAGTCCCAAGCTGACAAGGAAAATGAGCTCAGAGGTAATCAGCACATCAGGTGACAGTCCCAAGGGGATCTCTGTGACCGAACCCATCACACCTGGATCCAAATACCCCTAAACCTTGTGAAGTGAAAGGAATGGAAGTTAGATCCAGATCCATATTTTGCAAATGACTCTAAAATCAACCTGGATCCGATCCACTCCCAATGGGGTGTTTAGAGTCTAGTCCTGGTTTTGAATTTTGCAGCTTGAGTCCATCTCTAATGTTGGCAAACATGCCATGAGGTGAAGATGGGAATGTGTTTAACCCTCTACTGTATTTTAATCACATACTGTACCGTACAGAGAGAACAAAGTTCCCTGCTTTTTATTACTTTACCTTTCATCCCAGCAGGTCCCACTTTTCCAGGAATCCCCTGAGCTCCTCGTTCTCATAATAAATAATTTTTAAAAAATCCCTCAGATTAAACATTTGACCGTTATGATTAGAGAATCCGTTTTTCAGACTCGCTCTGAAACTCCCCAATAGCCCAGGTTTCATCCCAACCCAAATCCAAAATTTACACGTTAGTGTGAGACCAAAAGGAAAACAATTTTAAGAAATGTCATTGGCAAACTGCCATCTTCAGCTCACCATGGGGTCCTTACTCAGACAAAACTCCCTTTGACCTCCCAGGCTCCCATATTCCATGCTCGCTGTCAAAAAACTTGAAAGTAAAATTATTTTGTCCGGCCTTTGAGTGTCCACTGCCAAGACAAAAAATGAAGGATCCACTTGAGTACTTGCTATTTCCATCAATGAGTATCTTCTTCACCACCAGTATTTCCACTCCGTGGAAATATTTATGTTTAGGCTTAGGAGAATTAGATTTTAGTTGGTAAATGTCACTCCGTGTCAATTTCACTGTACACACAGAAACCGATGAAAAAATATTTCCATTGATAATAATCAAAATGTAAAGATCAGCAACATAAGAAAACTGCAGTTTGAAACTTAGAGTTTGATTTGAAGATATTTACCTTTGTATATTGTGACATGTGATGTTGACAATTTGTGTGTTAATGGTTATAAAGCTTTAACTTTTTGAATCTCTGTGTCTACTGTCATTAAATAATTATTGCCTGACCCTCCAATTGTTTGATCTTACATAATTTCCTGCAACTGTAAAAATTTAAATTGCAAAAAATTGAAAAAAGTGCTTAAAATAAATAGTATCCCTCCCACCCACCCCCCAAAAATAAAAAAATAAAAATTGGATCTGCCAAGCCTATTTAGGTTTTAAAAGGAGTGTAGACCATGAGCGGAGCATCATGATGGAGATCTCTCAGTCCTGACAGTGAACAATGGAGAGAAAACAGACAGTTTCAGAGCAGGGTTATTATACACCTGTAGCCCCGCAGTACAGCTGGTGAGATGTGTCATGTGACCACTGAATTTCAGGCAGCTTTTTTATGATGGAGTCTTGCATGGATCTCCAAAGGCTCAACAATTTTGACATAAGTAATTCATTATTTCTGCCTTCCCCACTGAAAGCTGATTCTCATTCAGCACCTGGGAACATACCTTTCATTCCCGCAACTCCGGGTTCTCCTTTGGGACCTGCAGCTCCAGGAATCCCAGGGCAGCCCTGGAGAACAGTATGTTTCTCAGAACCACTGAGACCCACTATTCTTACATCTAGAGAAAGAAATAAAACAATAAATGATCTTGGTGAGAGTAATGGGAGCTGAAATATTCCACAAATTTCAGGCAATCAAGAAGCTCTGAGTCATAATCTGCAGATCTCAATTGCTGGCTGTAAATATAGACAGATTCACCCTTCATTTTAGGAATGAAGCGAATACTATTTAAAACAATCACAAAGATGGTAACATAGGAACCTAATTTATTTAACAAACCACCTTAAAAACTTAGCTAGAGATAATCTGGGTGGTTCTTTATCTGCTAGAAAGCTACATCCTTTCGAAAATTGCCATGATGATTTGTTTTTTTAAACTCACTCATTTCTTGGTATAATCAAATATTCTGGTTCCTTTTCATTTATATCTGTGGCAGGGTTTTTATGAGGTTGATTGGATATTTTGACAATTTGTTTTAGCTATTATCTATTTGGTTACTGGTCAATGCTATTTTAGAAATAATATTCTATAGATCTGTATTTGTTCGGCTCTGAGGATCCGAGCACCTTATAAACAAACCTTTTAAATTTGCATTAATATTAACTGGAAAGCTGGAGTGACCCTGCATGCCACTAGTGCAACAAGCACCAGGCACGTTAGGGCAAACTGAGAAATGGAAAGTCTACATTTAAAATAATAACAGTGAGAAAATTTGGACCTTTACTGGGATTTAAGTGGAACACCGTAGCAGTACCAGGGTTTTGTGCGTGTGTGCGCACACGCGCACACACTTGTGCGCGCACTTGTGAATTTTGATACAAACAGAACATTGTCAGCACTCAAAACTCCATATTCATCCCAGTGCTCCCAACAGTCTTTGAGAAACTGGCTACCCATGCAAAGCGTTGCTGTGTGGGACAGCACACAGACTGGCTTGACAGGGACTAATGCATGGCGTCAACATGCTATTATATGGCTTATCCAGAGAGAAAAACAGTTGCCGGAATAGCTCTGGGCGGACACTGAAAATAACCTCAGTACAAGAATATCAATTTTCCTACAGGTCTCCTGTCACGTGACAGTTCCACAGCTCCGCCTTCTCCCCCCACCCTCCCAGGTCTGTTACTTATCATGCAAGGCTAGGTCCACACTACCCGCCTGATTCAGTGGGTAGAGATCGGTCTTCTGGGATCGATTTATCCCGTCTCATCTGGATGCGATAAATAGATCCCAGAAGCACTCCCCCGTCGACTGCGGAACTCCTGCCCACCAAGAGGAGGAAGCGCTGTCAACGGGAGAGCTTGCCTGCGCCGCGTGGACCCGCAGTAAGTAAACTTAGTTCTATCTAGGAAACGTTGACTTCAGCTACGCTATTCTCGTAGCTGAAGTTGCGTTTCCTACATCGATCCCCCGCCCCAATGTGGGCCAAGCCCAAGAGACCAACAGCAACAGAGGGAAGTTGGAAGTGTGACAAAGTTCCTCCTCTGTCTTGGTGGGTCCTGCGCTTATTGGCGGATTTTCTTGCCTCAAAGATTCACCATGTGGGTTGGGGAACAGCCCAGAGACCTTCCCCTCTGGGAGAACCCACAGCCCAGATCAATTGGGAGGTTTGGGGGGAACCCGGGCCCGCCCTCTACTCCGGGTTCCAGCCCAGGGCCCTATGGACTGCAGCTGTCTATAGTGCCTCCTGTAACAGCTACATGACAGCTACAACTCCCTGGGCTACTTCCCCATGGCCTCCTCCAAACACCTTCCTTATTCTCACCACAGGACCTTCCTCCTGGTGCCTGATAATGCTTGTGCTCCTCAGTCCTCCAGCAGCACACCCTCTCAGCTCCTTGCACCTCTTGCTCCCAGCTCCCCACACTCACACCACAAACTGAAGTGAGCTCCTTTTAAAACCCAGGTGCCCTGATTAGCCTGCCTTAATTGATTCTACCAGCTTCTTCTTAATTGGCTCCAGGTGTCCTAATTTGCCTGCCTGCCTTAACTGGTTCTAGCAGGTTCCTGATTACTCTAGTGCAGCCCCTGCTCTGGTCACTCAGGGAACAGAAAACTACTCATCCAGTGACCAGTATATTTGCCCTCTACCAGACTCCTGTACCTCCTGGTCTGGGCCTGTCACAGAAGTGTTAAAAGAAGTCTGCAAAATGCTTTTTTCCTCCATGTGTATTTATTCTTGACAAAATAATTGTAAGGAAACAACAGACCTGTTTACTGTGGGTGAATCCAACAGTTGCTACGTTTGCATGGTACCACTTGGTTAGAACCATTGTTAATTATTATTGTTCATTGCTAATACACTGATGCCTAGAGGCCTCAATCAAGGTCAAGACCCTACCGTGCTGTACAGACACACAGTAAGAATCAGTTCCTGCCCTAAAAAGCTTAGACTCTGTATAGGCAAGAGACACACAGAGCGGGAGAAAGGGAGCATAATAACCATTGAACAAACGCTGACAAGGTTTGTATCTCACTCACCTGGGCAGGTGTCTTTATCTGCACAAACCACTGCCGTTATGCAGAGTAAAGAGAGGAGGGTTTTCTGGGCAGCTCTTCCCATGGTTGATGCCGATCTCTGCAATGGCAGCTCCACGCATCTTCTCTTCCCCTTCTCTTCTTCCGAGTTTCATCACCTGCAGCTCTGAACAAACCATAAACCACAGATGCAATCTCCACCTCGTCATACTCAATTTCTCAATTGTGTGGCTAGTTTCTCTACTGTGGCTCTTCACAAGTTCTGAGGTGAGATTTTCACAGTATCAAACCCATAGTAACTCCTCTGTTTAGTATGCCTGGATTTCCTTCAGGAGACAGTGTCATAGATTGCCCTTGCAGAGCGAAGTTTCTCCAGGTGGTGACCCATTTTTACAAAACATGATGTAAAATGCCTAAACCTGATGGACTAAATGTTAAACCCTCAAAGTTACAAATCCACCTTTCATATTATTCATATTCCTGAGGCCAAAGAATCAAACTGACTTTAACTCAAGGAACTTCTTGGTATCACGTCACTATCTTTCATCAGTTGCACCAGAGCTCAGAAAGAAACAGTTGTAGATTTACTCTAGTCTGACTAAGCGGTTCTCAACATTTGAGGTCCAAGATACTGTTACTCAAGGGACCTCCAACTTTAGAAACAAAACAAATCCGAATACAAAATTTGATTCTAATATACTCAGAGAACCTAGATTTGCAGATCCAACCCCACAAACTCTGCGGGTACTTTTAATCTAGATCCAGACCAGGATTTTGAGCCTGAGCCCCTCTCTCAGTATCTATTAACTGAATACTGTTACATATCCACGCCCCCGCCCCCAGATTAACAGAGAGCTTGGGATTATTCTGTCTTCCTCTGCAGCCACAGCTCATGTGCTAGGCTCACCTGGGCATATCTCATTTAATCCATCCCCGCCATTGCAGGGACCTCAGCTACTGGTGCACCTTGGACCCTCCTGTTCTCTGCCTGTTGTATGTAATAGTCTCCTGAGGGCTGTAATACTTTGGTCTAATTCTGGTAGTTGGGCTTGGTGTGGGGGCGGTTGTGTAGCATTTAGTGGCTGTGATACACAGGAGGGCAGACTAGATCTGGTGGTCCCTTCTGGCCTTAAACTCTATGATTGGAGTAGATCAATGTGATGAGTGCACGCCTCCCCATGTGACCCCTGCCCATTCTGGGTAGAAGTGAAGCTGTAGGGGGGAAAAATCATCTCCCTTTTGAAGTGAGAGACAAATCACATTTTTACTCCTGGGGGAATTCTGCACCACTGCGCATGTGCCGAATTCATGTCCCATTCAGATTTTTTTTCTCCACAAAAAATAAATTCTGCCAGGGAAGTGTTGCAGTTATGCCTTTCGCCCACCAGGGTCTGCTGTGGTGCAACAACAGAGCAGCCACTCCCTGTCGGGAGAAACCTCAGCTACGGATAGGGAAGAGAAGAAGCTGTGTTCCTTACAGTGTCCTGCCCGGGGGCCTGGTCAGGAGGCATGGGATATGGGGGAGGGGGGATGGACAGCCTGGAGCACATGTGGCTTCTGGGGGTCACAGGCTGGGGGGAGGGCTGAATGGGAGTGGGGGTGCAGGGACACATGGGGAAAGGGGAGAGGAGGGTGGCTGAGTATGGGTGCAAGGACACATGGAGATGGGGCAGATGTGCCTGACTGAATGAGAGAGGATAGGGGTTAGGCCCGGTCTGCATGGGGGAAGCTCCCCAACTCCCTAACTATCCCCCTCAAAAAAACCCACTGTTCCATACTTCTCCCATCCACACACAACAAACCTCCAGGTTCACTCCCAGGCTCCTTCCCAGCAAATACCTCCCTCTCCCTCAGCTCCTTCATTACCCCTGACTCCCCAAAGCCTTTGCACTGCTTCGGAGGTGTGTGGGAAATATTAATATGCCTAGTAAGGAATCTATTTGTCAAAAAACATTTCCTGAATCTTTTTTGTTGTCTGTATTGTTACAGACATACTTGTTGATAGGTATTTTGAAATAAATTACCAAAATAATTGAAACTGGTGTGATTATAGTGTTACTTTGATAAATAATGCAGAATTTTAAAATATTGTGCACAGAATTTTTATTTTTTGGAGCAGAATTCCCCCAGGAGTAACATTTTCTATGCTGTTGGCAAACTCCAGCATTCTCCGTATGCTCTCCACAGAAAGGAGGGATGGTCCTGTGGTTAGGGCACTAGCCTGAGACTCAGGAAACCTCTGTTAAAATTGCCTGCTTCACCACAGACTTCCTGTGTGATCTTGAGCAAATCACTCAGTCTCTCTGAGCCTCAGTTACCCGCCTGTGAAATGGGGATAACAGCAACGCCCTGCCTCACAGAGGTGTGTGAGGACAAGCAAAATAAAGATTGTAAGATGCTCCAATACTAGGGTGATGGGGGCCATATAAGTACCTAATATGGATAACTGCAAAGCAAATACCCCCATCGAAAAACAGCCAAGCATATAACTGACCCACACACGGAAGATTTTAAATTTTCACTGTGACATACTTTAGAAAAATGAAAGAATTTTGTCCACATTTCGCAGAAGTAACTTTTGAGCGTGGGACCCTGCCTTAGCCTCCCCGCCAGCTACATTGGCTTCAGTGGGAGGTAAGTCGACATATTAAATTACTAGACTGGGACCCTTTTGTTGCTTGTTGTTTCATCATCATGGGAATACTTGACTCGTGGCATCAAGAGTTTAGCATTTGGCCCCATGCAAAGATATAAACTACAGTACTTAGCCCAGTGCTAACCAGATCTTGGGGGCACCCAGCATATTAACTGATGCAAGGAAAGGTCAAGCTGACCCATACTTTTTCACGAAGTGCAGTAGCACTTGCTGGCCCACCATTATATTGCTTCAGAAAAGTGAAGTCATTACATATTTTTTGCTGGGGATATTTTTGTTGTCTGAGTGTCACAATATATTGAAAGGACACTGACCATTTGAAACGTGCTCAGTTCTGCACTGCCAACCTCATGTATGAAAAAAATATTATGAGTCAAGGCCCCAAAACCCATGAGACTTTTCAAGCCAATCATGCAACTTCTTTACAAAAATACATTTGGGGGTCTTTTTATTTGTGTTTTGAGACTTGAAGGTTCACATTTTTGGAGCTTTTCTCTGCAAAGGTGAGGGCCAGAAACTTATTCTTTTATAAAAACTAACGCAGACATCTCATGTGATGGTAGGACTGCAGAAGCTGAGCCTGTAAGAGAAGCACCAGATATCACAAGACTCAAGATAAAATTGAGAGAATTGGCCACACTGTCAGTTAAATAAAAATGAACCATTAGTTCATTATATGGGCTGGTAGTATCAGCCCATATAACCACCTGTGAAGCCCCTCTGGAAATTGTTGTAATTTTACAGTTGCTCTGTCCCAGTTTTTAAAATCTCTATCTCCCCGGTTTCAGTGTGAAAGACTCACAGACAACAAGGAAACTGATTAACTAACGGCACATGGGAAAACAAAGAAACTGTACTCAGAGTGCTGTCAAATGCACAGAGTAAACAGGGAAAGAAACATTTCTTTTCCTTTTAATGCCTTGCAGCTAGAGCGGAGGATAAATATGTTAAAGATGATGAGGGGCTCAGATACTACAGTAACAGAGACCATAGAGGTAGAGTGCTGGGACTGGAACTGGAACGGAATAGTTTTGGAGACCTGGACTTCAAAAGGGCCTTAACGGAAATCTGTGCTGAGTTTGCCCCACCCCAGAACACCAGAGTGAGACCAGGTCACCCTTGGCCCACTCCCTCCTGTGCTCAAAACACCCCTCCCTCATTTGGCCCAGCCATGCTCCACCTCTGCTCTGCCCATGGCCTGCCTGAACCCGGGACTACTGGAGCAGCCATGTGAGAGGGGCAACGTCAGTTCTGTGCCTAGGGCACCCCTGCACTGGGGATAGTCCACCGGGGATGCCTTGTGTCTCCTTCATCCCAGCCTGAGAGAGGGGCTGCAGCTGAGTGATAAATCCAGCCCTGGATCTGCTACTTTAGAACAGGTTTCCTTTGCCCTCCGAACATTCATTTCCAATTGATTTAGAACAACGCTAGCAACGGTCAAGCTACAAGCAAACATTAAACTAAAGCAGCAGCTCTTTAAACTGCACCTGCTTTTCCTTTATCAAACGGACTTCAGAAAGAACTGGAAATGTAATACTAAGCCAGCTCCCCAGCTCAGTGAGAGGGTGATCAGCCAACACCTATTAACACACGCCTCGGACAGTGAAGCAACAGCATTGCTCCACCACAGAGGCAAATGCAAGAGGATGCAGGCCAGTGCTGCCATCTCCTCCCCTAAGCCCATGCACACTGCTTGACATCCTGTCGCTCCCACACACCCTGAGCATCCACAAATGCTTGTCTGCTGTATCCGCCAGGCTCCGAGACTGGGTATTACCGTGAGGAGAGCCACGGAGACTAGCCCTGAGAGGAGCGGGGCAGACAGACAGGAATACCTGAGCACCTTCTGGTTCCCTGGCCTTATCAGCACGAGCACCTATTGGCTTATGCTAGATCAGGGGTGGGCAACCTGAGCCTGAGAAGGAGCCAGAATTTACCAATGTACATTGCCAAAGAGCCACAGTAATACATCAACAGCCCCCCCATAAGCTCCCCCCCCCCACCACCACCTGCCTACTAGCAGCCCTGCCAATCAACACCTCCCCGTCCCTCCCGCCTGCCGCGATCAGCTATTTCACAGTGTACAGGAGGCTCTGGGATGGAGCGGGGAGGAGCAACGGTGCAGCAGGCTCAGGGGAGGGGGTGGAAAAGGGCAGGGCCTTGGGGTAAGGGGTGGAGTGGGGGCAGGGCCTGAGGTTGAGCAGTGGAAAGTTGGCACCTGGAGCTCCAGCCCCGGAGTCAGCACCTATACAAGGAGCCGCATATTAACTTCTGAAGAGCCGCATGCGGCTCCGGAGCCACAGGTTGGCCACCCCTGCACTAGATCCTTTGCAGAGCACTTAGGGAGGGAGGAGACTGGGTTGAGGACCCTCATGCACTTGTTTTGGATCAGGCCAAGGGCCTGTCCCACCCCTCAGGACTAGCAGGAGCACCACCAACGGCGGCAGAAGGTCCCGCCCTGAAATGCCCCCCCCCCCGAGGCAGTGGAAGGTCCCGCCGCCGAA